GTCTTTTAAAGGAGTCACACCTGGGTTTTAGGTAAATCACTTTGGCAATTACATGCAGGATGGCCTATATAGAGACGAGAGTTGGTGTAGGGAGACCAATAGCGTAGGCTATTATGATAGTCTAGGTGAAAGGTTCTGAGAGACTGAACTAGGTGGTGGCTATGTTAATAAGATGTCTTGGAGGTTGAAATGATAAGATTTGGCAAATGATTAGATTTATGAGAGAGAATGAGGAGTTGAGAATAAGGCCAAGATTATGAACCTGAGAGAATGAAAAGATGCAAGTGCCCTCAGAAAGAAATAGAGAGGTTCAGGAGCATTTGGGGGAAAGAAAATGGGATATGTTGAGTTTGAGATGTTTATGGGTCAAACGTGAGGGATACTGTAGAGGTACAATAGAAAAGAACTGGTAACTAAAGGGACCAAAAAAATGACAACAGTCAGGGTTGAAGGAGCTGCAAAAAGGTAGACACTGTTACAATATTGGTAGAGCCATGAATTGGTTACATCCATTTTGGAAAGCAATTTGGAATTATGCAAATAAGGATAACCACACACAAACAAAATGTCCTAAAACCCAGAGATTTCATAACAGGGCTTAGTCCCCCAGTGCTATTTCATTGATTTGATTTTTTGCCCTTCTAAAATCTGAGTGGCTAAAGTTTAATGAATTTTATTAGTTTTTTTTCCAATTTTATTATTTCTATAGGGTTTTTTGGTTTCCAATTTTTCTATCTAGTTTTTAATATTTGCTCTTTTGTGCTCAGTTTAGGTTAATTTTTTAGCTGATTTTAAAAAATGCATCTTCAGTTCATTAATCCACTCTTTTTCTATTTTCCTTTCCCCCCCTTTCTTTAGTATTTTGTTTTTCCCCAGTTACATGTAAAAATATTTTTTAACATTCGTTTTTAAAATTCTGAATTCCAAATTCTCTTCCTTCTTCTCTCCCTACCCCCTCCCCAATTGAGAAGGCAAGCGATTCGACATAGGTTATACATGTGTAGTTATGCAAAATATATTTCCATATTAGTCATGTTGTGAAAGAAAACACAGGCAAAAAAAACTCAAGAAAAATAAAATAAAAAAGTATGTTTCAATCTGTATTCAGACACCATCAGTTCTTTCTCTGGGGATGGAGAGCGTTTTTCTTCGTAAGTCCTTCAGAGTTGTCTTGGATCATTGTATTGCTGCAAATAGCTAAGTCATTCACAGCTGATCATCTTACAATTTTGCTGTTAACTTTGTACACAGTACATTTCACTTTGTATCAGTGCTCATGTAAGTCTTTCCAGTTTTTTTTGAGAGCATCCTGTTCATCATTTCTTATAGCACACTAATATTCCATCACAATCACATACTACGGTTTGTTCAGCTATTCCCCAATTGATGGGTATCCCCTTGATTTCTAATTCTTTGCCCCCAGAACTCTTTTTCTATTTTATTAATGTATATTCTTATAGACATGGTTTTTCCTGTGAGAAATGCTTTTGCTGCACCCCAGAAATTTTGGTATGTTGTTTCTTCATTATGATATTCATATGATTAATGATCATTTTTATGATTTGTTCCTTGATCCACTCATTGTTTAGGATTTCAATGTTAAATCTCCATTTGGGTCTATGTCTTTTTTGTTGTCCTTGAAATGATTACTAATTTTGTTGCATTATTGTCTGTAAAGGATATATTTACTATTTCTGCCTTTTTGCATTTGTTTGCATTATCTCTGTATACCAATATATGGTCAATTTTTGTAAAAGTTCCACGTATTGCTGAGAAGTACATATATTCATTTGTAGTCTGACTTAGGACACCACAAGTCTTTTTAGCTCTGGTTTCTCAAACAATTTTTTCAGATATACACTATACAGATTTTCAGACTTCTTTAATTTATTGATTGGTTTTGCTCATTTTTCAGTCTCTTTTTTCCTTTAAAAAAACACAAAATATTATTTGTTACATGGGATGGCTCCACAGGGGTACAGACTGGGAGAAATCCTGGTGATTTAAAAAACAAAATATATCAATGAGATTTTTTTTTAAAAAGGTAACTCAATCAACAAACATTTAGTAAGTTCTTACTTTGTACCAGGCACTATGATAAACTGGGAACACAAAGGGAAAAAAAACTGTCCTTATCCTCAAGGACTTTGTATTGTAATGAAAAGATGAGTTAAGTTTAGGACATAATGAGTTTGAGGGACTATAGGTCATTCAGCTGGAAATGCTAAAAAGGCATTTGGTCATTCAGGATTGAAGCTGAGGAAAGAGACTTGGGTTGGATATCTGGAAGCCACCTACATAGGGAATGACAATTATACACATGGGATCTGATGTGTAGACATAGAGGAGAGGACCCAGGACAGAGCTTTGGGGGTTCATCTCACAGTTAAGAGGTTGTATATAGATGAATCAGCAAAAGAGCTTGGGAGGAGTGGTCAGACAGGTAGGAGGAGAATCAAGACAGAGTAGTGTCACAAAAACCTAGAGAGGAGGGTACTGCAGGAGGGTGGTCAACCATGTCAAATGTCATGAAAGGCAAAAAAGACAAGTATTGAGAAAAAGCCACTAGATTCAGCAATTAAGGGGTTGTTGGCAGCTTTGGAGAAAGCTGTTTTAAGACCAGCGATGAAGGAAACCAAATAGGAAATGGAAAACAGTAAGTACTGACAGCTTTTTCTAGGAGTCCAACTGTGAAAGAAGGGAGAGAGGTAGTCTGACAACTTGAAGGAATGGTAAGGTATAGAGAGAGTTTTCTGAGGGATGGGGAAGACTTCGGTATGCTTTTAGGCAAGAGAGAAAGAACCACTGGGCAATGAGAGATTAGAGAGAAGGGATGTGCAAAAGGGCAATCGACTATAGAAGATGGGGGGAAGTAGAATTAAGAGAAGTACAGCCTCTTCATCCAAGATTGGAGTAAAAAGGAGAGGGTGTGGGATGTCAAGAGGTTGGGAGATGCACAAAAGGAAGGAGGGAGAAAGGGGGGTACTGGTAAATGACCTCCATTTTCATCCCTCTTGCTACTATGTCCTCCTCCCTAAATTACTTTGTACTTTCACACACATACACTATTTGGCCTAATAGATCTTAGTGAAAAAGAACATTTCATTTTTGTCTCTGAATCCCCAGAGTACATTGTAGCATCTGGCACATAAATGCTTGTTCGCTAACTAGGGGGGAGAAAAGACACTGACAAGACAGACGATTCATTTTTTTTCCCTTGTGAATCTAAAATAAAACTTGAATTGTTTAAAGAATTACATGGAAAATACAGACTTAACTACCAAAATGTTTGACTGTATTAAAGTTTTCAATGCCTTCAGCATAGAAAAAACAAAGTTCCTTGTTTTACAAATTTAGAGCTGGAAGAGAACCCATCTAGTCCAATTTTCCCATTTTACAAAGGAAGAAAGTGAGGCCATTAAGGTTAAGTGACTGGTCTAAGGTAACACTACTGTTAGTCACAGATCTGGAACTTTGAACCAGGTCTTCCAGCTCCAAACCTAGGATTCTTTTCCTGTATCAACCAGCCAATTAAAATCAAATTAGGTTTTACTTATTTCTTAACACTAACATGCCTCAAAAAAAATGCCTCATTCAAAAGTGCTCAAAAATATGCCAAGAAAATGTTTTCAGAGAAGAATTTAATTTAAGATTAAGAATTTTATAGAGTTTCATTCTAATTTTTCGTTACCTTTGAAGTTGGAGGCAGAGAACATTCCAGAAAGTTTACAAACTGAGCTGATTAATTTGCAGTGTTTTAGTAAAAAAAAAAAGTTACTTGTACTTGACCAACCACCCTCCCCACAGCACACACAGTTGAGGCCCTTGGCAGTGAGAACAGCTTTCTTTGGCAGCACTTACCTATGCAAACAATTCTTCTCATAAATGAAACAATCTAAAAATAAGAAAAAGACTAAGAAACATTTACAAGCATCAGTGAAGGTGGCTTTCCAGAACTTTTTTTTGCCAAGGATTATGAAGCTTTTAGAACCAAAATGTCAAATTATTATCCAACTCAAATTAAATAATTTCCATTTTCAGATAATTTTTATCAATTTTCATCTAGTTCTACTTATTTTTAGATTTGATTATTATTAAAACTACTAAATAATTAAGTCAAGAAAAGCATACTTTTCCCCCCAAAGAGTTTGATTTTAAAAAATAAGTGCTTCAGAATGAATACACAAATATATAATCTTAGTTTTATTAAATAGTGCTATTATTCTTTTTAATTTCAGCAAAGCACCATGACTTTTTGCGTACTGGATTAGATTACGTTTGAGCTACTGACCAGTCATGTGGTTATCTGATTCTAAGTGACCACTTAAATTAAGAGAAATTAGCAAGTTCTGATTTTGCTTTTTCCCCTGTATCATAAGCATCATTCATATTAACATGAATTAAAAGATATCCAAGCATCAATCTACTTATTCTCCCACACACTAGATATTTACACGCCCACTGAATCTGTCCCAGTGAAACAGACCTAAAGCATTTGCCTAAAAAACAAGTTCTTAAATAATAACCACTAAAAGAGTATGCCATTTTATTAAGGTTAGGAATAAGCAAACAATAGATGCACAGTGTTGCATAAAATATGAAATCTATTAGCCCTGTAAGCAAAGCACTTATGTTTGCTTTTCATAACCACATCACCGTTTTTTTGACAGGATACTTACTTTAATCTGTCTTTTTAAAGGACAGGTATAACTACTAAGTGTGCCTAGAAGAATTTAAATGCTTTTACCCAAAGAGCTATTTCATTTTATCTTTGTATCCCTATTGCTAGCATACAGTGGCACTTAATAAATGCCTGTCATTTGAATAATGCTGTGTCACTTACCTCACTTTAATTTCTACCATACAAATTTTAAACATTCTGACCGTGGGTCTTGCATTTTGAAGCACTTTGCAGCTAGGGTTCTATTTGTAGGCAAAGGAGCTGTGTTAATCAATATCTTAAATCTTGAAGTTTTCATTTAAATTTTACTTACAGAGTCTTTAAATTTCAGTTGTCACTGTTTATTACTGTATTGGCTACATTCTCTACAATTTCAGCAGTGTCTTAAAGAGACAGTTAATGTGTTTATGTACAGTGAAAAACAAAATTGCTTGCCAACATTAAAAACAGGAGCCACAGTATATATGTACAATATTAAATAAGAACCTGTGGTAATAGAACCTCCTTTTTCTGCAACATGGACAAAACTTACTTACTTACATATAAGTATTCAGCATCATGAATGTGACAGCAAAAGGAGTAATGTACAGGAGAGAAATACAGCATCCTGAAAAGAAAAAAAAAACAGCTTCTACCACACAAGGCAGTTAGAAAATGTTTCACATTTTAACACATCTGTACAAACTACAAGAAACATTTCTTTACAGGAATAACTTCCCACCTTGCCAACAGGAACCTTCCAGAAATGTAGAAAAACTGTGAACACTTTCTGAATATAGACTCGGTGCCCACAGTGTTAGAGCATGAGAAACTGACTTAGAAGAGCTGATATGTCCAACATATTCAGTTATACATGCCTTGACTGTTAAGGAAGTATCTACTTTTATTACCTCTCTATGACGTACAGTCAACTTGCACCTTAAGGAGGCCATTCAATTTTTTGCAAAGGTAAAAGCAACACCACTTAGCAGCAATTAAAGCGCTTTCAAGGAGACTTAAAAAAAAATACAATATCCAGTTAGAAAAAGCCATTTAAACATTTATACAAGAATAAGCTGCTGAAACTTGTGTATAATTGAAAATATGACATCTGTACAACAATTTACAATAGAACTTGAAGGGAATTGATCATTATCCTGCATAGAACTGGTCTGCATTTGGTTACATACTGCCATTTTTTATCACAAGGCCAGGAAATGAATTATGAAATACATGTTAAAAATCCTAACATTTTGGAAACACAGCAAATATTACAATTTAGCTAATTCAACAAGATTTCAAAATATGCAGCTCATTTAATCAAGGGTTAAAGTATCTAGAATAGCTGACCATTCAAAAAACACTCAATGCTCTCAAATAAGTCTGCATTTGAAAACAATTGAAAGACATCATGCCAATCTTGGAGCCACGTCAATAATGGGAAAAAAGAAAAGTGGTTTTGAGGTATAACTCTGCAAAAGCCCAAAGAGGCAAAACACAAAGTTTAACTCTGTCCAAAAAGTCTGTGATATTCCATTATTCCATAACACAAGGTGACTGTCATTCACTTCTTACTTTGGTGTCAGCAGAATTCCTGCTGAATGGCTAATGCATGGACACAGGCACTGTAGTTCTTGTGTTAGACAGAATTTGTCTGATATTCCCTCCACGAATTTAAATAATGAAAAACTACCCTTCATATCAGAACTCTCCAGTATCAGCCAAAAATTTATTTAAGTATTATAAAGGTTATTTACAATGTCTCCTCCCCGCCCCACACCTGCCCGCCCAAAGGCCCATTTCCCCTCTTAAACACAGTACTCTTGTCTGTGCGCAAGAGGTAGTGATCCTTCCATGTTTAAGGTTACAGTCAGAAGAGGACATTTATTCACAGTCCATGATCCACTCGAATACAAATTACACTAAAGAAGAACTTCAGTTTGAAAAGTTTTCAATCTTGTCTTGTGTAAAAAACACTCAATGTTCTCAAATAAGTCTGCATTTGAAAACAATTGAAAGACATCATGCCAATCTTGGAGCCACGTCAATAAGAAATTATACTTGAAGAAGGCGGGGTAGGGGCTGTGAGTCCAGCCATATGTAAATTCCCTGAAGAATTTGATCTTCTCATGTGCGGAAGAAGGTAAGGATCATTAGCCAGTTGGTGGACATCAAATCGATCTTCTTTACGGTATGCTAAACAACGTCTTATGAAAGCCTAAAAAACAGAATTCAGAAATAAAATGTCAAATTTTAAATATATATATATATATATATGTGTGTGTGTGTGTGTGTGTGTGTGTGTGTATATATATATATATATATGTGTATATATATATATACACACACACACACAAACATATACACATATATTCCCTAAATATTAGCTTACCAGTATATTCCTAGAGGAGAACTATTAAGTTTTTGAGACAACTATGTGAGTTGTGAACATGGGTTCAGTTATAATCTTTATACAAATGACTCCCAAATCCACATAAACCATCTAAATCTCTTAACTCTAGAGCCTTTAAATGTTATAAAAGGTTGCTCTATATTACATATCATACTTTATTTTAAAAATAAGGTCTGAGTTTTCTGGAAGGGAAACAATTATAATCCTTTTTTGGAGACTATAAATAACCTATTCTGAGATTCTAAAATACAAAATTCATTTTCAATAATGTATACGCATTATGGAAAAATATTTGTAGAAAAATAGTTGTCTTCTTTTTAAATTCACATGAGTAAAATGGCCACTTTGTGTAGAATTTCATCCACTTAAATTAATAGCATAATACTCCCTTCTTTTCTTTTTTTAGGAAATTAATTTTCATTTTCTCATCAGATTCTATATTATCATATGGTTAGAGAGCTCTGAGGCACCAAAGACCCCCCCCCCACACACAAACACACACACTTGAAAATAGGCCAAGAATGGATAAAAGGGAATGAATTCTAATCTTGCTTCTGATCAATTTGTTTTTGGAAAACCAAATGCCATAACTTGCTTTGGCTAAGATCACTCATTACCAGGTCCAGGTTGGAGCAATTTACAGGAGAGAAATAAAGAGTACGCTGATTTCCTCAGACATCTCTCTGTACAGTCTCTACTGGTGATGTCATTAGCTCCTATTGATTTAACTACCACATCTATAACTCCCCAACCCTCAGCCATCTCTTAAGTTCTAGTCCTGCACCCCTAAATGCCTAAGTATCTTCACTTGCATATTCCATAAGCATCTCAAACATAAGTCAAAAGCAACTCAAATCCAATCCTCCCAACTTCCTGTTTCTGTTGAGCACACTTCTGTTCTTCAGTTACCCTGGTTTTCCAAACTTGGAGTCATCCCTAACTCTTCACTCTTTCTAATCTCCCCAAGCTAATCAGTTGCCAATTCTTACTGCTTCTACCTCCTCAAAATCTTTTGCATCTAATTCCCTCTCTCTACTCACACTACCAATAACCTCAAACCAGGCCTTTATCAATAGTCAGCTGAACTATTACAAAAGACTCCTAATTGCTCTCCTGAAATCTAGTGTCAATTCCTCTCCAATCCATCCTCCAGAAAGCTACCAAACTGATACTCCAAGAGGGCAGGTCTGACTACATGACTCCACTCCCCTGCTGAAAAAGCTTCAGTGGCTCCCTCCTGTCCTTGGGATAAAATACAAACTCTTCTTTTTGGCACTTAAAATCTTTCAACTTCTGGCTCCAGAATATCTTTCCAGGATTATTCTCATTATTCTACACCATGTACTCCACACACCAACCAAACCGGCCTACTTACTGTTCCCTGCCCTTGGCATGCCATTTCCTGCTCCCATGCCCTTGTACAGGCTCTGCTTTCCTCATCCTGAGAATGCACTCTGCTCTTCATTTTCAGGTCTGCGGTTCTCTTGCTCTTACCTCTTTCAATAAGCCACACCTGATTCCCAAGGTGTTGGTGCTCCCCTGACTCGAATCACTGTGTATATAAACTATGACCATCTTGTATCCTCTTCATAGAATATAAGCTCCTTGAGGACAGGGTTAGTCTCACTTTTGTACCTATATGCGCAGCATGTAAGCACAGGAGCCTTTTTGGGGGGGTAGGGTGGGGAGAGGGAAGCACTACCACCTACAACCCAGAAAAAATTTTACTTAGGAGTATGCCATACCATAACTATAGTTATGGAGAATGGCCATAAAAACTAACTGCAGGGCTTTAAGGTTTACAAACTACTTCACATATGTTATATCACAAATAGACAAAGATTATATACTATTAGCCATGAGATACAGTAGAGCTACAGCTCCAAGTAATTCCAAGCAATACATGTATATTCTTTAAGAAGGACGTGATTAAGTGGCAGCAGTTTGTAGCCTCTTCTCCCATCTTTCTTCACAAAGCTGACCTGTGACTCCCAATATCCAGGCTTACATATGCATCAGAAATAATAGCAGTGACTGCCTTTGTTTATCGTTGGAATTCAGAGCACCTTGAAAAAAGGAATACTCCCAAAGGGGGTCACTGAAAATGGAACTTTGTGAACAAAAAATAAAAACTTTTGAATAAAATTCAGTGATCAAATGCAAGGGTACAGGAAGAGGGAGAAAGTGAAGTAACCTAGTATGACTACAACTGTCTTATGGTGTAAGGATGCAACACCTAATATCGATAACCTATACATGCAGCATCTTGCTCATATTCCCAGAAGACCATTTGTTTTAGATTCACAGAGTGGTGAAGCATAAACCAGAGGGCCCAAACACAAACCGATTCTTATTTTCCCACTTGATGCCGCTTCCTATTAGAAAGTGTTATATGAACACCCAGACCACAACTCTTGGATTTACCCTGGTACTTGAAAGCAATTAGGCCTAAACTAAGGAAGTAAGGATGGATTGTACTTTCTTATTAAAAAGCTGTGACCTATCAAAGGACCAAGTGGGAAATCCCCTAGCCCTACAAGGACAGGGCTCTTGAGGAAACAGTAACTTCCTTTTGATGTAGCCATTAAAGAGTACTCACCTTGTCCTAGAACACATTCTGCTCAATATACTTTTTTTTTTACATTATTCATTCATCTAAGTTTAGTACCTTGGCTTCATTGCTTACAACAGGTTTCACAGGGAACTGAACTTCTGTGGCTTTTAATATTGTGTTTTCTTGCAGGATGTCTTGTTGAGACTGGTTGTGACCAAATGGCTAAAAAATTGAATTAGATACTCAGAAGCTTGTAATCTAAAATTTTCCAACAGTGACAGTACCACATTAGCTAGTATGTAAGATACATAGGGAAGCCACAAATTACAATTAGGCTTTATTTGAAAAATGTTGAGTCTGTTGTTTGATATACAGAATTCATAGACAGTATTAGAAATGGAAAATCGTTTCCCAGCCTAGACAACCAAGAACCAATAAAACACCACTATTTGATATTTCTATAGTGTTTTAAGGTTTGCAAAATGCTTTCCCCACAACTCTATAAGGCAGGTCGTGTTAAGTATTAACCCCAAGTTATAAATGAAGAAACTGAGCCTCAAGGAGGTAAAGAAGCTTTGCATGGTCAGACAACCATTAAGGTTCAAGGTCACCTCAAAGTTACTACAAATTTTAAAAATAAATCTGATCTACAGAAAACCACATAAAGTCATATAAAGACTAAACATTAGCAAAACTAAATTCTACTAAATACACACAAAGAAAACATTGAGGTCAGCAGTAAGCACTCTTGAAGGTCTTATAGAATTTACCTTGCGTAAAATAGTATTTAAGAGGGAGAATATTACTTTAATGTAACTACTTACCTTTCGACCATATAGACACTGAAAAAAGATGACTCCAACAGACCATACATCAACCTTGTTGGAAATCTTTGGAGGCTCTTTGCCAACTACAAAACACTCTGGAGGTAAATACCTTTCAAAAAATAAGACAAAGATGTCATCAATATTCCTGAACTCTGGGACCTAACAAATGCTCTAGAATAAACTTACTTTCCATATGCAAATATTCATTGAATTTTCCATTGCCATCAGTGCATGGATTACATCATTCTATCATTTGACAATAACTTTACTCTAACTATACAGGTGGGTCTTTATGATAAAGTTATACTACTATAATTTTCCAAGTTACTAGTATAAAATAAGTTAAATCACCAGGAGTAACTTTAATGGCCTAACTGTGACTAATTTTAAAATATATTTATAAGGAATGTATCAATAAGAAAGTTAAGAGAAACAAAATCTGGGCCTCATTTTCTTAATCTTCAAAATGAGAGGACTGGACTGCATAATCTATAAAAAGGGAATATCTAGCTTTACCATTCTTAGAAAAGTTATAAAATTACTAGATTTTTCTGAAATACAAAAACGAAATGATAGAAATGTTTCAAAATGCATGTGAAATTGAATAAACTCATATTAGAGTATTCTATTTCCAACACAACTTTAAAAAAATCCATTTCTCTGCAAATTACTTTTTTCATATTTTGAGTTATCCTTGAAACTGGAATTATCTGGTCAAAGAATACAACTTCTATTCATGACAAAGTCTGGACCAATTTAAAACAAGGCCAGCAACATATAACTGTACTTATGTTCCTATATTTCTACCAATACTGAGTTTTATAATTTTGACTAATGAATAGGTATATATACAAAATAGATTTTTCATTCTATTTTTAATTGTTAGCAAAGAACTACATTTTTTCCTCCTGTATAAAGCACAAGTTCATCTCCTTTAACCATATGCCAAGTGGAAGGTATTCCTCTAACCTGTTATTTATAATAATTTATATATTTTGGAGAGTAAAGTTTTTATCAGTTGTTTGCTGAGAATTTTCCTATTCTGACATATTCTTTTTAATATTTATTTTATTAGGTTTCTTTGAAATCTATTTCTTCTCCAGTGATGATAAATGCATAATAGTGACTTCTTCAATTTTATTTTTAAATCACATGGCAGTATAGTGCAGAGGAAAGAACACTAATGAGGGAGTGGGGTCCAGGATACCTGGCTTTGAGTCAGCTCTGTTATTAACTCACTGTATCTGGGCCTTAGTTTTCTCATTAAAGGATTAAACTTCCTGCAGTTTCTATAGGAAAAGGTTGGGTGGAGAAGGACCTGAACTAAAGAAGAATGAGAAAAGATTCTGGGAGGATGTGAGAAGTTTAATGGGGAGAGTGGATAGGAAAGGAACAAGGAAGACAGCCAGAAGATGGAAGAGGAAGAGAAGGAAGAAGAGAAGATGGTTCAAAGAAGAGGTAGAAGAGTAAGAGAAACAATTAGGGCCCAGAAGGAAAGGAGAATGAGATGTGCTCAAAGATGGGAAAGAAGAGTACAACTCTTAGCTTGGGAGGAGGTGGTTGTTCAGACACTAGGTGGCCAGCAAGGCACCTTTCATCTCTTAAAATGCTATGACTCTCAAGTTCCTGTCCAGCTCTTATATACATTTATTATAAAATGCAGTTTAACTTAAATCCATTGGGAATTTATTGGAATAAATGCTACAAGGTATAGACCTGTATAGAATAATTATTCTTCACCTTTTTATCTAGAGGCAGCATAGCACAGTACATGACACCTAGTCTTAGAGTTAGGAAGACCTGTATTTAAATCTTGCTTCTAGCACCTATGGGTTCTGTGACGCTGGAAAAGTCGCTTAATCCCTGAGTGTCTCAAACAACTAAGACTACAGATTACAGAGCAGGTGCCCAGAGCTTACTCACTGGGAATTGCTTTCATTAATAAAATCACAGGTCTAGTCCAACCCACCCACTTACAGCATAAAAATATGCTTTCCACATTTAATAAATATACTGTGATGCCATTAGTTTTTAAAAGTACAATTATCATGTTTCCCCACAGCTTTGCTGAACATTCCATCTTGCAACAAATTTCTGAATTTTCAAAATACATATAATTAGATAACCTACATAACTCTTTAATTCTTCCTTTTATGAACTGATATCCTAATTTTTCTTTTCTGTTAAAAAAAGATCCACCAAACTTTTAACAGTTCTAATAAAATTTTAATTTTATTAAATAAACCTCATAGCATCTACTTAGATCTCTGATATGATTTCATATAATATTTACAGATTCCCAGCTGTAAAATAAGAGTCAGAACAGGTGAACTTTAAGATCCTTTCTAGCTCCTTATCTCTGACGCTACTCGATAACAGTGAAAAATTATTTTAATGCAACATTGCATTAGAAATCAGACATTTTCTAGCAGAAAGGACACTATCAAGCTAGTAATGAATCTAAGTAAAAAGCTCTGGAAAATGATACATATTCATTATCCAAATAGCGAAAGTCTTTGAGGAAACTGTGTAACCTTAGCAAGTCACCTCACCTTTCTGTGCCTCAGTTTCCTAATCTGTAAAAGGAGAAGGTTGTATCAGATTGCCTCTAAGGTTTTTTCCAACTCTGAATATATGAACCTGTAATAAAAGGATTCACCTGAGACTACAAACATCTTCCTTTTCAGATGTAATCAAACTTTAAGAGAAATCAGAGAAATTTCTCCCGAACAGGTACATCTGCTTTCAAAAATGCAGTATTTTATTCTTTTTATTTTATTTTATTGTTTAAGTAACTGGAAATAATTGAAAATTTAGTATGGGATAACAGGTGTCATTGTAATTAGTTGAATCACAATACTAAACTCCAGTGGCTTCCTATTGCCTCTAAAATAAAATATAATCTCTGTTCAGCTACTAAAGTTATTCTCAAATGGGCCCCAACCAATCTTTCCAGCTTCATCGTACGTTATTACCCCGTCTGGACTCCGTGATCCAGTCAAACATGACACTCCATTTACCATCTTCATGCCTTTACACTAATTGTGCCCCAAGCCTGCAAGATGACTCTCCCTTCTTTTTTGCCTCAGAGCCTCCAAGACATAATTCCAATTTCAACAGCTACACGAAGCCTTTCTTGATATCAATAGCATTCTCCTCAAACTACATTTTATATAACTACTTTATATTTGTTCTACATATGTTTATATTCATTCTCATTGTCTCTCATTAAAACAGGAATTCTTAACCTTTTATGTGATGGACTCTTTTGACAGTCTCAGAATGTGTATAAATGAATAAAATAAAATATACAGGATTACAAAGGAAACCAATTGTACTGAAACAGTTACCAAAATACTAAAAAAAAAAGTTCACAGATTAAAAACCCCTTAAGAATCCCTACATTAGAATAAAAGCTCCTTTGAGTAGGAATTTTTCATTCATATTTATATCCTTAGCATCTAGCACAGTGCCTGGCATATGATTAATATATACTATTGATGGAAAGTTGTTATAATTTTATATATTATTATTCTTATCTGACCCACATGAAGCTGCTAAACTAGATTTATGTTTTATATCAACTCATTACAAAGCTATAGAGATAAACAAAGCCATTGCTTTTCATCATATTCTCACTAGTTGATTCCCTTGGCAACATTTTAGGGATCTCTCCCCCTTAGTTTCATCTCTGTAGATCTCCAAAGAACAGAAGTGATCTACTACTTTACTTTAAGGAATATTTGCATGCGACTACTACAGGTAAAAGAGTCATAGAGTTGCTGGGGGTTTGGATAAATATTGACCAATAGGGCCCAATATTTTCCACATCCTTTATAACATGTGATCTAGTCCAATTCTCTATCAAAGCCTTTTTAAGGGAAGGGGAAAATTAAGCAAGTTACTACACGCATAATAGAGTATAATGTCTGTATATAATATCAACTCTGCAGCTCCATATTTATAGTTGATGTAACCAATCTTGGCACAGATAGTACAGTAACTCTAGCAGTCTTAAAATAGTAGCATGGTTGACTCAATTATCCAATAAATACTATTGAAAATACTGAATCAACACCAGGCAATTTGGTAAATTCTATAGACTTACCAAACCTACATCTTCAAGAAGCTATATTCCCACAAATGATGGAAGGCAAAGGGCCAAAATAATTTACCCTTTGGAAAAGAAAGGAAAAACAAAATGTCCAAGACTTTCATCACTGTGGTCTGCTACAAATAGCTGGGCAATGGGTTTCTTAGCTATCACTAGAAAATGAGTTGAAGTGGATGGGGAAGCATCATGAAAAGCAAAATACTTGTCATCCTTAAAAATGATTTTGCCTAAAATTTTCCTGCAAATTATTTTTCCAAAGATCAGAAAACACAGCTGACATAACCAAAGTATGGCACAAAAAGTACATTACTTCGTAAGTCTTAAATCAGAATCACACAATTGACTTAATTATCAAATCTACCCTATAGAAAATACTAAATTGAAAGTATGCAATTCAGTAATATTCTGCAGACATACTAAATCTTCAAGATCCTACAAATCCCATAAACAACGGAAGGCAAAAAAATAAAATAATTTAAACTTTGGAAAAGAAAGGAAAAATGAAAGCAGATACAGCATTTTCCTAAGAAACATCAAATTTTGGGGGGAAGAAAAAGGATGACAAATTATTTTATAAATGTAAGCCAAGTTATGAAAGGAACACTATATTGAAATTGAAAACAATAAAATTTTGCTTAAGGATTTATGAGTATTTAATGGCCCATTTCCTGTTTCATACCCTGTTTTTCATGCTCAGTTCTAAGCTGTGAAAGCTCACAGAAAGACAGCATGGAAAAGTGAAAAGAACATGGTCACAGGATCAGAAGCCCTGCACTCTAGTAATGCTTGCTGGCCTTTTGGGACCCAGGACAAAGCCCTTTATTTCTGTCACCCCCAGTTAGCTCAAATCAAGATGATGATCATCTTCCCTTTCTCACAGGACTGTTGGGATCAAATAAATTAAATATATGCGAAAATGCTTTGAAAACTGCAAAGTATTAAGTAAGGTAATAGTATGATTATAAATTAATTTCTTTGCCTTTTGAAGTATAATACCCATTTCTTTGGACTTCAAAGGGAAGTTTTAAAAGTTGCAAATTAATCTATATTTCAAACTTTCTGGATCAAAGACAATATAAAACAAAAATGTTTTCCAAAACTGAATTGATCAACTAGTCATTAATTAGTTAAGCCAATAAAGCTTAAAACTGTACTAAGGCTTTAGTGACAAACAATACACAGTAAACTCAGTTTCCTCATCCACCAAACCATATATATTATCTCTAAGGTCCTTTTCATTTCTTTTTATTTCTTTTCTTTTTTTTTTTTAAGGCAATTGGGGTTAAGTGACTTGCCCAGGGTCACACAGCTAGTAAGCATCAAGTGTTTGCTCTGAGGCTGGATTTGAACTCAGGTCCTCTTGACTTCAGGGCCAGTACTCTATCCATTGCGCCACCTAGCTGCCCCTCTAAGGTCCTTTTTAGATCTAAATCCTACTATTTCAACTGACTGTAGGCTGTGCTCCAAAACATTACTTGAAATCAGAACGTGTTCTCTCAGAGGAAGGGAGTCAGGTTTCCACTGGGCAAGCCTATAAAGCCCTATTTAATTTATACCAAGTGCATTCCCATCAGACTTTGACTCTGTGGTGGCACTGAAGCACACTAGATACAGTACTGAGCCTGGAGTCAGAAAGGCCAGAGTTCAAATTTAACCTCAGACATTTATTAACTGTGTGACCCTGAGAAAGTCATTTAACTTGTTTTTCTCAGTTTCCTCATCTGTAAAATGGGAATAATAATAGCGCCTACCTCACAATGGATTATTGTGAGGATCAAATGAGATAATAATATTTATAATGTGCTTAGCACAGTGCCTGGCATATAGTAAGTGCTACATAAATGACAGTGATTATTATTATTATTATCATTATTTTAGTAGAGGTTTCCATACTGGCTTCTCTTCCCTAGGAACTCCAGAGGATTCAGTTACTACAAGTAAGAGAAGAATTTGAATAACGACTTCAGTGGTTTGGAGGGAAGGGACAGGAGTTAAAAGAAAGAAGATAGAACTATCTCCTCTTCTAAAAATCTCATGCTTCTGTATTTGCAAAGAAGCTTGTTACTTATTCACATATTATGATTGTTTGAAGGTACTGTTCCTGCTCTGGGGATTTAAAAGTCACACTTCAATTTGTAATCACTGCTCTTTTTAGTAAACTGGAATGAAAATAACTTTCTCCTTCAAATGTCACTACCTTTTCAATAAGCAATGAATGGCATAATCTGAAAACTCAGTTTATTTGTGAAGTTTTATGTTATATGCAGCCTATTTTTATATACTCAGGAATACTTCCAGCTCTGCAGAATTTAAGATGAAGTAGTACTATAAGTATTCCTTGGGTGTGTCCTTCTAAAATGGGATAGTATGTATGAGTGAACACACACACACATATGCATGCATGCATATGTGTATATATATGTTTTCATAAAGGTAGTTCTATAGCTTTTGGTTTTAAAAGCTACATGAAGCCTCAGACTGGATTATTAAGTCACATATAAAAGAAATCAATACTAATTTGATAGCAGAATATTTAAAGCAAATAACCAAAACTTTAATTATAAAACCCACAAATAAAGGACATAATATGTAATATGTTGGGTTGTTTTTTTTAAATTCTGGCCAATATATGTTATGTGAATAAGTGACATTCCATAAAAGTACTTTGTGAAAGTACATCAGTGTAGAGCAAGCATGCAGAACCAGCCAGAACCAGCTTACTGGGGGCTCTCTGGTGGTTCTGAAAGTCCTACCCAATAGGCCTTAGGTCTGCTGCTCCTGCCAAGCTACTCTTTTTCTGCAATTTGCTAGGATTTACAGCAGGGAGGGGAGCCCACCCTTACGTGGTACCATAACCTACATGCTTTGTTCAGTGGCTTCCCTCTGACTATTGCCTTCCTTAAAGATCAAGGGTTTAAAGAAATGGAAAATAATTCCTTTTACCCCCAAAAGGTCAAAGGATCTCTGATACACGGAAAGCTGATATTTTTAATATTTAAAATACAATTACCAATATGTCCCTGCCCCTTGAGAAGTTAGATCCATTCCATCCACGCCATAACTATCATCATCCATGATTTTGGACAGGCCAAAATCAGTAATTTTGATTTCTCCGCATGCTGTTCCATCTACTAAAAGGATGTTTCCTAACAAAAAATAAAGAAGTACAAAAATTAAGAAATACTTTTAAATATAAGTTTCCCCCCCCAGTCTGCACAATTGCAAGCAATTCATTATTTAATAATACTAGATTTTATTAACTAAATGGAAAGCGATTACATATTAAAGCTATTAGTATGACAGTTCTAAAATTAACTACCATTCTATTGCAATTCTCAAACTACAAAAAAAGCTTATCTTTAGCATAGCTTTCACCTGATTTAATCAGGAAATTGATATCTATTATTCAAGTGTCATAGAATAAGACTTAAAAAATTATCTTGATAAATTTCTTATTTACCTGGTTTAAGATCATAATGGATAATAGGGGGTTTGATCTCATTGAGATATCTTAGTGCATTTACTATTTGCATAACAATGGACCTAGCTTCCTTCTCTGACATTAATTTATGTTGTTTGAGATAGAAATCCAAGTCATTGCCTTCACAGTATTCTAACACTGTACAAAACCTATAATGGAGAAAAACAAATACAAATATATTAGATATGCCATTAAATTGTACTCCCAAATAACTCACAATCATCATGCCCAATATAGAGAAAAAGTGAAGCATATCTGAAATATTTATAGTTAATTGTCAACTAAAAGCTAATCCAGTCATCAAGAGAGAACTTTAAAATAAAGAACATCTTCTGGGACAGGATAAAGTGAACAGGTTTTGAGGAAAACACAACATGGTGACCTGTTTTTCAGGAAGTCTCTTTTTACACAGTATAACAAAAATTTTATATTGCCAAATCCCCCCAAATCAGGGTAGCTATCACAACTTCTAAATTTCTTATTCACATATACTGCATTTAGTTGTCATTATCACTAAACCTATTCCACACTTACGTGTCTGTATCCAAGGAGAAATAATCATATAATTTAACTATCCTGGGGTGGTCCAGTTCTTTGTGTATTCTATACTCTCTGCAGGCATGTCTAAAGGAAGAGAGCATGTTAATTTTCCGTGAACAAAAGATTCTTGATCAATTTACCACAAGAACCATAAGGCATTGATATTTACTTGTGGTAGTTTTCCTTCTTCTCGTCCCTCCAGCTCTTATTAAGCTGGTGGATCTTCACAGCAGCATATCTTTGTTCATAAAGGTCAAAAGCCTGAAATTCAAGGCAAAGAATAGTTACAGCCAAAGACCAAGGAAATTTACAAATTCATTCAAAATATAACAATTCTTAAAAACAAACAAAAAGGAAATTGCTAATCTAGATCATAACAACAATGATTCACATAGGCTATCTCTTTGGGTAGAAGGGATTGTAGCTCTGTGATGTTATCAGCGTAGAAAATGCTGGATAAGAAAACTCCCTCTAATGATGCAGAGTAGCAGTTTCAATGGAAATTGGTAGAGTTGCTTGATGCCTTATGGCAGAAGTGTCAGTTGCAGCCACCAACCAGATTAAAACGTGACTGGGAAATATTTAACAAAATAAATTAAAATACAATAGAACACATATAATCCTAATATGTGGTTTTCTAAGCCAATAGGCAGCCTTCAGGGATTCTTATGAACTACACCACTGCCTAAAGATTTACAAAATGCTTTCTCTAAAGCCAACCCATTGAGTTGGGTAGTGGCATTAATTTGCCAATGGGTCAACACAATTATTAAGTATTGATGCTGGGATATGAAACCAGGTCTCCAGAATTCAAATCCAGCACTCCTCTCACTATACTAAGTTGACTCTAGGGAACACTTCTACTTATTGAATGGGTTGTATTTTAATGAACCATAAAATTAGTCAGAAATTGTACTACTAGGCGTAGAATATAATTACAGCGATATGTGCTGTAGTATATCAGAAAAGGGTGGATTATCATACAAGACCATAATTAGTAATAAAATACTACCAAATCTATATAGCTTGGTATCAGTCAAACATTAAGCACCTTCTGTGCAAAGATTCTCACTTTAGATTTTCTGTAATTTCATCAGTAGAATAAGATAAAGCAATTAATCTATACTATCACTTTCACTTGGCCCTATTCAGAGATAACTGGCCAAAGAGACAATAGCAACCCAAGGGAGCGGATTACTGACTCTTTAGGGTTGCAAGCTGAAAGGTAGGAAACATATTTCTTCCCCACTTGACTTCCTTCATTCCAGAGAGCTTCCTTGTCCTTGAAGCTCAATGTAGCATAAAGAATAATTTGTGTAAAACTCTGTAAAATATAAACTACCCAAGTTTAGCTTTGGTAGCTTTTGCAATCTATTCCTTAAGAGAGAGTAGCAAACAACATTGTATCTACTGCTGCAAGTGTGAACTTTCCGTTCAACACTGCTTTAAATAGGTAGGAAACATATTTCTTCCCCACTTGACTTCCTTCATTCCAGAGAGCTTCCTTGTCCTTGAAGCTCAATGTAGCATAAAGAATAATTTGTGTAAAACTCTGTAAAATATAAACTACCCAAGTTTAGCTTTGGTAGCTTTTGCAATCTATTCCTTAAGAGAGAGTAGCAAACAACATTGTATCTACTGCTGCAAGTGTGAACTTTCCGTTCAACACTGCTTTAAATAAACTAGAGAAAACAGGTTTTAAAATGCTGCTTACCATGTTACAAAGAAACTCCATGAACAGAGATTTCATTGTAAATTATATAGTCACCACTTTGCAAGGCATATTTTAATTAAACATGACTTCAGGCATTTATTCAAAAGGGACACATTTTCCCTGTCCCTTAAAACACTTTAAAAACTGCTCACCATGTAAGGAAGATCATTTCACAAATACTATAAATTATAGCTTTGTCATTAGCTAGCATGAGATTATAAATATATTCAGAAATTGTACCTAAAGGATTTTAAGTCTCTCTCCCCTCCCCCCAATTTCATGGTCAGGGCTGAGTTTTTTTTTTTTCTTTCAGTTTCATTGAAGAAATCAAGAATAACAAAGCTAGTATGAGTCAGAAAAAATTTGAATGCAAAGTGAATGCTGTGCAAGACATGAAGAAGAGATACATAAGGTATAAACAGCAACAAGTTCTAAAACACGAGAAGAAAACATTAACTTTATGTAAATCGTTAGTGAAAAATTTCCATTCTTAATTGGATAATGATTATGCATACATATATATCTATATATATACATAAATTCTTTGGGAATAATCTTTTGGGGGGGCAGGGTAAAGGAAGACAACTGTTAGGTTTGGGTTATGCAATTTAGAGCTGAAAGGAACTAAAAGATCATCCTATCCAACCCCTTCATTTTTATAGATCAGGAAACTGAGGCATAAAGCAGTTAAGTGACATGCTCACGTATACATTATGCTACTGAGAGAGCCTGTACTTAGGTGTTCTGATTGCAAATTTAGTACTTCTTTTTGGGTTATTAAATTAATAGTTAATTAAAATCTTACCTAACCAGCAGGTACTAGTCAGCTAGCTCATCCTTCAAAGCTATTTTTAAGGAACCATAATTGGCCTTGAGAAAATTCCCATAATCTCTAGCCTGGCTAATGAAATCCCTGGAGTTTGAAAAACACCTTGGTCCATATGCTAGTTGAGATTGTATGAAAGTCACAAGGACTCATTTTGTAATCTCCAACCCCAGCTTGATCCTGTTCTTTAGAGTTAATTTAGGGGCTGGGAGTAGCAAGAATGGTACAGGTCTGGGATCAAGAAAAAAGGATGTTCTGCTTGCTTTCCCTTGTTCATCTGGCATAATAATAAGTCTTTAATAAATACTCAGAAACTTGACTAGGCTCTGAAGCCTCTAGATCTAGACCAACCCAACATCATTTTAAATTATTTTTATACCTGAAAGCTCTGGGGGAAGAGCTGTCTCAATAGGCTGAGAAACACTTGGGGATACAGAAGAGGGACCAATGACTAAAGCTGAAATGCTACGGTATCTTTCTCCTCTTTCAACCTCTGGTCTACTCTGAAGGCCATTTCTAACTAACATTAGAGTTGCTACGCAGGAAATTGGAAATCATATGTGAGTCACCATTTCACTATGTTCTTGTCCGAACAATTTCAAGTAAAATCTAAATCCCATTTTCAAGTTATCTCAGGGTTATCTTTATATTCAAACAGTTAGTTTCAGGATGGATCTGGAGGCAGAAGTTGGAAAAGAAGCAGGCCATTTAGGACTTTTGGCATCTATTTAAATAAGAATTAAGAAGCCACAAAATAACAGTAATAATGTCTGACATTTATATAGCCTTTTTTTTTTTTGCGAGGCAATTGGGGTTTACTTGCCTAGGGTCACACAGCTAGTAAGTATCAAGTATCTGGTCTGAGACTAGATTGCTAATAATATTCACTGAATTTCAGAAATGCCCTACACATTTGCATGAGTAAACTTTAGATTTGCTACAATTCTGAGGTTTGACAGTTTCTTAGTCAACCTTTCCTATACGAATCCAAACAAGAAATTGAAATGTACATTACCTTATATACTTCACTAAAGCCACCTCTACCAAGCAGATGAAGTAACAAGTATCGTTCATTTAATGTGGGATGATCTTTAAACCTTGGGGAAAAAATTCATATGCATATTTTAAAAATTAAGAAAAGGCACGATGAGGTCCCATCTATACTAAAGAGCCTTTTTTGGGGGGTGAGGTGGTGGAAGCTGTTTTTCTCTGAAGACTTTTCTTATTACAGCACTGCTTGGAACACCTTCCTCTCCACCTTTCTTCTCTTCTTTATATCTGCATCTGGCCTCTGAGCTGCGTTGGTTCGGGGAGATGGCTTAGGACTTCCTTGTTTTTTGGGGGGTTGTGTTTTTTTTTGCCTTTTTTGGTGAGACAATCGGGGGTTAAGTGACTTGCCCAAGGTCACATAGCTACTAAGTATCATATGTCTGAGGCTGGATTTGAACTCAGGTCCTCCTGACTCCAAGGCTAGAGCTTATCCACTGTGCCACCTAGCTGCCCCTAGCTTAGGACTTCCTTGACTCCTTCCTTTCAGTATCAGAATCACTTCATGTGGTCAAATAACCAAATACAGCACTCTGCAGTTTTTGAAATAATGTGTTCTCATCTGTATGTGCGCTCTCTAATGCCTTCAAAAAATACTGTTGTATTCAAGAGTTCTATTCATTCAATTCTGTGCAGTTCAACAAGCATTTATTATGGGTCAAGGTGCTAGGGATGGTGGCTGGTGCTGTGGTTCTGAAGGCAAAGGTGAAAAATGGTCTCTATCCTCAAAGAGCTAACATAATCAAGATGTGACTGTGGAAATAACAGGTGGCCTTCATCCATAATTACATTTTAGCATTAACTGTTATTTAAGCATTTAGCTTAAAATAAACAGGTATAAAATTCTTGTTGCCATTTGAAAAAACAAAAAATTCAACACGGACAGAAAAAGTTTTAATTATATATGAAATGAATAAAAATAGTATATGCCAAATTTTAAGATGAAGGTAATTCTATAAAATTTGAGCTTCTTTTGTTAAAAAGTATTACAAATTTATTGTGTATGTATATTAGGCTCTACTATGTATGAAACACTAGGCTAGATAATGTAAAAATGAGTGTTCTGCTGGGTTCTAATCAATATAATGAAACCATAAGAATTTACTAATTTTCTATTACAGTAAACCAAGTCTCACATAAATATCTTTAGACATCATTTTCATATGAGAGATAAGGCAAAGATTTTAAAATATACTCACTGCTGTATTAAAATTCTAACATAGCAGGAATTTTAATCTATTTTACATGTACCTTTGGAAATACCACAGACTATGATGACCAGTAAATTAATTAGGAGTTTGTTTAAATTTTGGTTAGAAAAGATAAAATTTATTTTCTAAAATATGCTTTGCCTAGACTAAGGACATTATTAGCAATTAAAAAAAATGAAAAATGGGTTTGATTATCCATGGCTGTAAGTTTAAAACTGGGACATAGATACAGTTAACATTTTGCACTGTCAGTCAAAATCAAGTAAGAAGGCCTTAAATCCACAAATGATTTCTGCCTTGAGAAAAGGATAGATATTTTTCACATTCCCTTTGACATATCTAAACATACAATCAAACCCATTTTGCTCAAATCTCACCTTTTCCATGACTTTTTTTTTAAATTAAGTTTTATTGATGTCTTATTTTTACATCACAGTCAATTTTGGAAATATCTTCTCCCTTCCAACTTAGCCTTCCTGGAACTGAAACTTTTGCCTGGTTAAACATAAAAATGTCTGAAAGTGACCTGTTTTTCAAGGTATAGATATCCTTCTGCCCAATAGTCTCCAAATTCTATGCTGAAAAGTGAGAGATAAATTCCCACTCTCTGTGTTCCTGGGCAATTACAGACTTCTTAATTACCCAAGTCAGTTTCCTTTTCATTCATATTACTGTAGTCACTGGGCAGATGGTTTTTCTGGTTCTGCTTATTTCACTGTACATCAGTATAAACAGATCTGATTCCATGACACCTTGACTGCTAGAGCCCAACATGATTTTCCCCATGAGTTGAACCCCTTTTGCCCTTTCCTGTCTGTGCCAGTCACTTGAGCATTTAACAACAGACGACTGCCAACTACCTTGGGGCAAAGAGGATACCTTATACTCCTTTTGTAACTCTCAGAACTAACACAATGCTGAGAACATATAAGAACTCAAAAAATATTTCTTATTTTATATTAAGATATACAAATATCTTTCAAATACCCAATATAGTAGGGTTATTAAGTATAGCTTCATGAATGGCAGTCTATAGATTACTTGAAATTTATTTCTGTAGGATTCTTCTCCTCCCTTCCTTAAAAAGGGGATTATTACATGTTTTGGTATTGCAAAATTAATGGCACATAAAATATAAAAAGCAAATGCATTACTGTGAATTATCTTCATTGTTTATCCTTTTGAGTTCCCGTATGTGAAGATTTCTGACTCTTTCCAAACGTTCAAGTTCTGCCTGGATTTCTGCTTCTTCCTGAAAATGAAAAGAAAGGACAAACTGGATTTACTCACTATGTAAAAAAAAAGAGTATTTTTTTCCCCACAGTCAATAAACTGTGAGAGGGAAAGCATCACATTACAAGGTCCTACTAATTCCTCTTCAATTCCTAAAAGAGATAGCACTAGGAAGAAAAAGCCAATTTTAAGAAACCATTCCGGATATGAAATCTTTAAATAACTGTATGCCCAGTATTGCTAAGGCACTACAGAAAAGCTATTCTCATCATGTTCAAATGAGAATGGCAAGGAGATAAACACAGCCTTAAATTGGCATGTGGTATAAAGCGAGTTGGGAAAATCAGTGAGATAATGTAATTTTTAATTTAAGAAAAATATTTTTAAAACATCCTAGAGATTTAATTAATAAAGAAAATCAAGGATGAAACAATACAAGATATTTCACAATAACCTTAACTCTAAGGTTAACTCAAAGTTCTTTTGATGATGAAAAAATATATACACAGAAAGCCTCAAACAACAAAAAACCTCCACCATTATTAGATTATTTCCAAATTAATGTATGGTAGGAAAGAAAAAGATCTGTGCACTTATTTTGGTAATATCCCAATGTAATCCTGGAAGTGAGGACACCAAGTTACATAGATCTTCCCTAGAAAATGATACCTATTCTGACTGGATTGGAATGAATCTCAAAAAACTTTCTTTAATACTTATTTAAGTAAAAACAGTTAATTTTTCTTTTGGATTTTGGGAAGAAATTTTGTATTTAAAACAAAAGCACCCTGATTTGAACCATTAACATTTTTAGAAGTACTTTGGAAAGAAATCTGGATTTGTTGGGCAAATCATAATTACAACAGCTTGTAGTTTTATAAGGCATCTTGCAAATAAAAAGGTAGCTCCTTACAATGACCCTTAAAATAAGATCTATATTACACTTTACGAAATGAGGAAAAAGAAAGTCATGTAGCAGAGAACAAGGATTTGCATCTAGGTTTTTTTGACTCCAAACTCTAGGAAATGTACGATATAAAAGAAGTAGTGTATTAACTTCTCTAAGATAAATAATAAAAACATATATTCCTTTACAATTTAAATCCAGGAGGATTTTCTATGTGCTCTTTTCTTTTAATTAATTTATTTTTGGCTTTCAACATTCACTTCCATAAGATTTTGAGTTTAAAATTTTCCTTCCCTCCCTCTTCTTCCTTCTCCCCAAGATGGCATGTAATCTGATATAGGCTCTACTTATGCATTCATATTAAACATTTTCACATTAGTCATGATGTAATCTATGTACTCTTAAGAGAAAAATTAAACTTTTCCATAAATAATCACTTAAAACATTTAAGAATATTACTAGATAAACTGGTCCTCAAGGATGTTTATATTATGTGTTGAATAAAACAAATCAATACTTGCTTTAGCAATATGAAGATACAATTTTTAAAAATAAATATTGCTGGAGAAGCAGGGAAATGGTGGTACCATTGCATTAATTTTTATATATACTTAAAATGCAAGTTATATGTAACAGATTCAGTTTCATATACAATCCTCTTTTTAAAACTGGCCTTTGTATGTGCATGTTTGTTTACTAATGATTTTCTAGTTTATAATAAAAAAATTAGAATACTGATGAAAATGGCCCAATTGTCAGAAGAAATCTCATTCATAAACATTCAAAGGATCCTAGTAATTATTCTAAAAATTTTCTATTTATGCATAAGTGTGGTTTTAAGACTAGAAAAAAATGTTGCCTCTAGCATGAAAAAAAAGAAAAAAGAAAATGATAATAGCAAGTCTCATTTCCAAAATTACTGAACATAAATACTGAATGACTAGAAGGTCTTAACAGATAATCTAGTGCAAGTCCATCCAACTGAACAATTAAGACCTAATTTACACAGATCATCCCAGAGCCAGGATTAGAATTAGATTTCCTAACACTTGGGTTTGTGGTCTTTCCACTATACCTTAAATGCAAGCAAGCAATTTAGAAACAGATTCTTGATGTTAAGAACTTGGTTAAAATATTAGGATGTGAGCAAGAATTTTACTTAATGTACACCGCAGTGCTAGAAATTATTTCATGCTACAATTTTTTTTGGCTCTTTTTAAATGATTTAAAACATATTTAGGAGATATTACTGAAAATTTTGTAGACACTTAGACTGCTTGATACCTTTTTGGTTTAAAATCTTTATAAAAACATGGCAACTATATATGATAGTTTCCTAATGGCATGTTAAGTTCAATTTAGAAGTAAAGACACACTCAGTTACTAATATCAAGAAGTAGGCATGTAGTTATACTTGTCCCATTTTTTTTTAATCCTTCATAGTACTCAACTAATTCAAACCAACCAACATTTATTAAACACAGTGCCATTATGCTGTGCTATGGATACAGAGACAAAAAACAGTCCTTGGGATACAGGTACATATAATAGAAAGAATATTGAATGAGAAGACTATACTAACAACTGGGAGACTCAAGGGAGGCCTTACAGAGGAGGCTGTAACACAGTCTTGAATAAAGAGAACTCTTGGAGGAGGTGATGAGTAAAGAATGCATTCCAGCCATGAAGGGCACTTTGTGCTAATGCACAAAAGTAAAGGATGGACTGGTGAATTCAGGGAATAGCCCATATTGGTTTAAATATCAAGTGTGGGAAGGGAAGAGGTAACAATATTGTATATAGCTAAATAACAGGCTAAGGAATTTCTATTTTACACTGAAAGTTTTTGAGCAATGGAGTGACACGGTCAGACTTGGAAGAATATTTGGGCAGCAGTAGTGTAAACCAGGTATGTCCAATAACACTTGAGTGTAGCTGGAACTAGATTAAAATGTCAGTGGGAAACACTTAACAAAATAAATAAAAATACAATAAAACATAGTTGGCATTAGATTTAAAAGTGAAGTCAATATGCAGCCCACAGGGACTCTTATTTAGTTTAGTGGCCCCAGTTTCTATTTGAACTTGATACTGTTAGTAGGAAACTATTCTCTTTTGATTGCCAAATCTAATGGCCTCAGAATTCCTTATACTTTCTGTAGCCTTTGACACCATCCATCGTCATCTTCTAAAAACCCTCTTCTCTAAGGTTTTTGTGACACATTCTCTCCTGGTTCTCCTTCCACCTATATGACCCACTCCTTCTCAGTCTCCTTTACTGGATCAACATCCAGGTTACATTTGTTGATAGTAGGTTTTCCAAAGGACTATGTCCAGGGCCCTCTTTTCTTCTCCTTTGTACTATTTCACTTGGTCATCTCATTAGCTCCTGTGGATTCAGCTATCATGTCTATGTCGATGACTGTCAAATCTACTCATCTAGCACTGACCTCTCTGCTGACCTTCAGTCTCCGATCTCCAATTGCTATTGGACATCGAGAATAAATGGATGGATTAAATAGACATCTCAAACTCAACATGTCCAAAACTGAACTCGTTTTTCTTCCTATTCCCTCCCTTCTTCCCAACTTCCCTCCAGCTAGTTATTCAGGCTTGCAACCTAGACATCACCCTTGACTCTTCACTCTCATCCCACCCCACATCCAACGTGTTGCCATGGTCTCTCAATTTTACCTTTGTAGCATGTATCTTTAAAATACTCTCCCTTCTCTCCTGTGACATTGCCATCACCCTGGTACAGGCTCTCATCACCTCATGTCTGGACTATTGCAAGAACCTGCTGGCTGTTTCTGCTGCAACTCTACCCATTCCAGTCCCTTCTCTACTCAGCAGTCAAAATGATCTTCTTAAGGCAAAGCTCTGATCATGGTCAAACCCTGCTCAAAGTCCAGTGGTTCCCTATCATCTCTAGCATCAAATATAAAATCCTCTGTAGTTCAAAGCTCATCTTCAGAACCTGCCCACCTCCTCTGCCCCCATCCAGTTTTCTTATACCTCATATCTCACCATGCACTTGCCGAATGAGATGCTCTATATCCCGTTCTAGGCATTTTCACTTGCTATGCCTCAAGCCTGGAATGTTCTCCCTCCTCATCTTGGTCTTCTATCTCCCCTGGCTTCCAAAGTTCCAACTAAAATCCCAGCTTTTACAGCACAAGAAACATTTCCCAATCCCCTTTAATTCTACTGTCTTCCCTCTGTTGATTATTTCCAAATAATCCCGTTTATAGCTGTCGATCTTATCAGACTGCGAGGTCCTTGAGAGCAGGAACTTTCTTTTGCCTTTGCATCCCTAGTGTTTGGCAAAGGTGCTTTGTAGTTGTTGCTTAATAAATGTTAATCAACTGACTGACCGAATGGAGAAAGGAGATTATTTACAGCAGAGAGAGTAATCAAGAAGTTATTATACTAGTCAGTCTCCTTTGTTGGATCATCCTTCTCTCCCTGACCACTAAATTTGGGCATCCCCTAAGTCTTAGACATTTTTCTTTTCTTGTTCAACATTTCTCTCCCTTGGTGATCAAATCCATTCTCATGGTCTCCATTGTCATCTCTAAGCAGCAGACTCCCAAATCCAAATATCAAAGCTCTCATTTCTCTTGAACTCCAGTCCTGAGACATTTCAACCTGGTTATCCCATAGGCATCTCCAACTCAAAGGGTCCAATTCAACTCTTCTCCAAACTTCCCCATTTCTGCTGACAGCATCATCTTCTAGCCAGGTTTATAATCTTGGAATCATTTGTGACTCTCCTTCTCCCTAACCCCTATATTGTAATCAGCTGCCAAGTATTGCCAATTCTACAACATCTTTCTAATCTGTATCCTTCCTTTCACTCACACTGATACTTCAAATCCTTATCAACTCTCCTAGGATCACTGCAATAGTCTGCTTACCTCCAATCTCTTTCCTCTCTAATCCATTCCAAACCATCCAGTTGATTTTCCTAGAACATAAATCTGCCTCATTTACAACTCAAGAATTTTCACTGAATGCCTATTACCATTGAAACCCTATTATGACATACAAAATCCTCAGCCTAGCATTTGAAGTCTTGTATAAATTAGCTCCCAATTTCCCTTCCGGTCTTT